ATTCCATAAATGGTATTGAAAATGACCTCTGTGTACCTGCTAAAACTCTCTTTTCATCTGATTCATCATCATCATTACCCCAGTGCCGCAAAGGCACCCATCAACGGTGGGGTAAGGGAGGGTCGGAAACGCATAGGGTGAGAAGGCTAATGCGTAACCAGTGAAGCCTCCAGCTAGCCAGAGATGCCATGAGTCGTCGGCGTACTCGGGCAGCGGGTGTCACCGGAGAAAGCGGAGGACCCACTTTGTAGGTCATGAGAAAAGCTTTCAGGCGGACATTAATGGCGGGCCTCCGGGGTTGAGCTTTAACAGCCGAAGGATATGACTAAGAAGATGGTAATCGTGGCCTAGGCTTTCCTTACAAATTGTTTTTGTTGGATTTTCCGTAAATGCCTAAATGGGATGAATTTTTGGATAAAAAAAATGGAGAAAAGGATGAAGAATGAGAATGACTAGGGGTGGGGAAAAATACCGAAATTTCGGTATACCGGACTTACCATATCGAAAAATACCGAATTTACTGAAATGTTTGGTATACCGACGCTTTTGGTACGGTATGATACCGTACCGAATTACTTCGGTATGGTATCGATATATATTTTGGAAACAAACGGTATACCGGTATACCGTCATACCGTAATTCCAAGTCAATAATTTCCTTAAAATTGTAAAAATAACTAGAAACACAACACTAATTCAAGAATAAATGACTTTATATCCATGTTTCTTGAATTATTTATACTTTTTGTTGATCGCTGTTATTTTAGTTATATTTATGTTTAAATTATTTTAGCAGAATGTGTTGTTATCTTCATATATCATGTGTTGAAATATCTATACATATTTATAATATTTTTTGTCAAAAGTTGAATAGAACACAAATAGGTTATCTCATTGGTATTTTATAATTAATTTCATTAATGATTTTAGTATATCACTATTAACATTGATTTTTTTATTTCATTTGACATATAATAATTTGTTATATTAAATCATGGTAATTTACCGATACCGTACCTTACCGTACCGAAATTTTGTTATACCGAAACAAGGTATACTGAAATTTTGGTATGATAACGGTATGTATTTTTGCATACCGAAAGTTTACGGTATGGTAAAGGTATGCGATAAAATATTGGGTAAACATAATATTTTATATTCAAAAGGTGGGTATATGGGTGAAAGATTAGGCGGAAGGAATTTGGTGCGTATGGGTTTTTATATGGAGTACTAGTTGGTTACACGCGCGATGCGCGATTGGAAAAATGCCCAATGCCTTTTTCGTTGGAAACTAAACTTATTGTATATTTATTTGATAGAGAGATTTACCTAAATAGGACTAAAAGAAGGTTGAATTGTAAAAATAGGACATGAAGTTTTAAATTCCCCTTAATAGGACTAATTATTTGTATTTGGACAAAACAGCCCTCTTAGTTCGTGCTGCATCTATTCGCTAGCTGCTTCGCTAGAGCTGGACTTCTGCTGCATCGATTCGTCTTTTCCCAGGTAAGTTTCTTCATCCTTTTCTTCTGCTCTTCTTCTGCTTTTTCTTCTTCATCTTCTTCTTCATCTTCTTCTTCTTCCTAGTTATCTGCTTTTTCTTCTTCATCTTCTTCTTCCTAGTTCTCTGTTTTTTTTTTTAATTTTTATCAATAAAAAATTTGAATTTTAAAAGTTTCATATGAAGGATATATCAAAACTTGAAATTCTTGTTATCAATTTTGATTAATTTGAATCTCAAAATGCCCTAACTAATGATTCCAAAATGTCACTTTTTTAATAACAGAATGTCATAATTATTGGGTATTTTTTAAAAATTGTCACTTTTGTGTCATTACAATATTTGGAAATGTCATATTGAGTGTCATGTTTATATACGAAATTGACATTATTGTGTCATTATTGGTTATTTTTTAAAAATGTCACTTTTATGACATTACAGTATTTGGAAATGTCATATGACATTTTGTGATTCAAAATGTGACATTTATGTGAAATTGGCAAAAACATGACATTTTTGTAATTTCAAAGCAATATTGTCATCTTTACAAATGTAATACCATAAAAAGTGACATTTTTCTTATTAAGTACTATTAATTTTGTCAGATTCATAATGAATCAAAATTGGTAAATAAATAAATAAAACTGAAATCCACAATGGATGGAGCATTGCAACCTAATTTTTCATCTAAATGTTCACAAATCAGAAATCGGTTTTCTATTTAACCAAAAAAGTAACATAAATCAAGATAATTAAAGAAAAAACAGAGCACTAGGAACTTAGGACGAGGATGAGAAGAAGAATGAAGAAGAATTGAAGAAGGAGGGGGAGGGGGGGGAGGGGGGAGGAAGAAGAAGAAGAGAGGAGGAGGAAGAACAAAGAAGAAGCTAGAGAAGATTACTTGTCTTCGCTGGCGTCGGCGGAGGAGCAGCAGCAGAGGCGAAGAAGATTTTAATCGCAGGTGGAGGAAGGAGCTGGGTAGATTTAATGATGCAGGGGTAAGTAAGTAATCTGGAGTCCCATTTAGAAAATAATAAAGTTAAGGTCCTATTTTGGAGTTTTGACTATGTTTTAGTCCCATTTAGAATAATTACTTTATTTGATATGATTCTTGTTAATAACGCATGATAACATTTATAAGCGTGAATTGGTGAATCCTAACTGATGTACTGCCAAACACTACAAGTAGCCTAAATGCCTAATGCCACTTTGTTACAAGAGCACGGTAGAAAAGCATAGAAGAAACCATAGATGATAAAAGAATGTAATTGAAACTTATTTGTGCTGGAATGAACAAGAATGCTTAGGGATGTAACAATTAGGATGTTTTTACTTGGACTGTAATTCATCCCAGACCAGATTTGGGTAGTTATAAAAATACAAAGAAATCAGACCAGACCAGATCAGCAAATTACAGTTCAAGTAAAAACATCCTTAAATTCCTTTGAATAAAATGAAATCCACCGTGTTTCAATACATGTAATGTGATCAGTACAATTCACAAACAGAAAAGAGAAACAAGAAATGACATGAAGAAGTTAACTATAAAAAAACATACAAAACAGGGAGAAGGTTTCAGAAGGTTTAAGCAAAAAATTGAGGTAACATATTTATATAAAACTCAGAAAGTTGTTTTGCCTTCTACATTAATGGAGATCCATAACTCGTGATTAATTGGAACTGCAGATTACCAATGATAGATTACAACTATTACAAGATTATATGAAGGCTAAAGAACACAATTAAATTTCACTAAGCGCATAAGTGAAATCATGTAAAAAGTCACAATTACCTGAAGATAAAATATGTTTTTAGATGTTGGCTAGAGCGGCTAATCTAAGGATAATCTTTCCTATGTGTCTAACCAATAATGTCTTATAGATAAAACACTCTCACAAAGTATATTGATCTATAACCTATTGATTATGATCCAAATGATCTACAACCTATTGATTAAGAGCCACATGAAAGTCATTTTTTAAGAGTATGTAGACATATAAGAGTTTGTAATGCATAGCCAGTATCGATTATGCAACATCTATCATATTGCGATTTGGTAAGTGCCTAATATGATTCGTGGTGCAAATCTGTCGTGCAAGCATTTCTAGAGACCCTATCAAATCCAAATCAAAATTTGGGTCAATGCAACATTTAAATGTAGAGAAACATTTTTTACAGAATTAAGTTAAATTTTGAGGGGAAAAGCTAATTAAGTTCACCAGCTTTTGTGCTCTCAAACGTTGTACCAAATGTGATATTTATGTTCACAAGCTTATGTATCAATTTCTTAACCAATTCAAAGACACCCATCACCAAAAAAATTAGCTCACTTGAATGTATAAGATTATAACCGAGTATTTATTAACAATATGAGAATGGTAAATGGCTTACATGCAGAGGAGGGTCAAATTTGGGAAATATCTTTTACAAATCCTGGAAACTGATTTGTAACCGGAACAGTTGTCAAGCCCACGGATAACCTACAAACGAAGACAGGTGGATAGCAATTAGTAAACGCTTCAGTTACAGTAAATCAAAGAAGATAGAAATGAAATAAATGAATCAAATTAGAAAATAGAAACAAAAAACGAGAAAGATAGAAACAAATCACCCAACTACTGGTATGGCGAACGAAGAAGACAGAGAAAGTTATGTGTTTATTGAAATCCACTTCTGTTGTTAGAGTGAAGTGCCATGGTTTGAGTGTTCTGGATGCCCTCTCTTCCAACTAAACTGTCACTCTGTCAGTGTTGGATTGATAAAGTTTGGTGTGAAACAAAGGGCATTAAAAATAGACAGAATGATGTAAAAACTTAATTTGGTTTAATTGGGGAAGACAAAGGGGTGACGACAGATAAAATCTGGTTTAGACTCATTAAACTTGATCATTATTTAAACATTCAACAATAAACTTAACCAAATTCACAGATTGCTTCAACTGCTTCAAGGTTTCTTTGAGTTTAAAAGTTATCGTACTTCTAACAAAACCTTAAGATATTTTTTGAAAACAAAACCACTTTAATCATCTTAACTTAACTCGTTCAGATGGATTAGATAGAGGGATAGAGCATGCAGTCAGCCAGAAAGATGCACTGGTATCTAATGCAGCCTCATTACTTTTGTTCTAAAGTATTCCAAAACAAATCAGAGTTCCTGCCTATAAGCTGATTCTTATGCCAATAGCCACCCTAATGTAAAAGTCAGTTTAAGACTATTCATTGAATTGCGCTAAATGACAATAAACGCAGCTAAAGCGCTTCGTGGAAAAAATTTAATTTCTCATTGACTTACTCATTGACTAAAAGTGAAAAAGAAATACTACGTAACAAATAAATGATGGTTTGGTTTAAAAAAACTTGGTAAATCAGGTCATCTCCAAGTCATTTAGTTTAAATGGTCATTTTTAGAGTATGTAGACATATAGACACTTATTTAAGTGTGTGTGTGTGTCTATATATATATATATATATATATATATATAAAATTGGAGTACAGATCCCGGGTCTCACTTCTCTCTTCAATTTGGCGACGGTGGCTTCCGCTTCGGCTCCGGGAGGAGCAGCTGCCCGCTCCTACGCTTCCGTCATCAGCTTGGGCAAAGATGGAGCGACTCCATCAGATCTTTCCTTCGCTACTGGTAAGGATGTCGCTCTCCTACCCCCTAAAGCTCCCTCCCGTTTTAAAGGCTCCCCGGCCGTTTTCTTCTCGGAGACCGACGTCTCCACCCTCGCTGCTCAACATCCCTTTGCCTTAATAGGCTTCTTTCCTCTGGGCAGACCATCAATGATTTCTCTCAGGAAATCAATTGAAGGTCTCGGTTTTTCATACTCCTTTACTATTGGTTTGATTGATGATAAGCATGTTCTTATTGAATTTAACTGTGATTCCGATTTCCAACGCTTTTGGCTAAGGAAGACTTGGTTTTTTAGCGGTTTTGAAATCAGGGTTTCCAAATGGACTCCAGATTTCATGCCTAACACCGATTCCCCAATTACCCCCGTTTGGATTAGCCTTGACAGTCTTCCCATTCATTTATTTGAAAAATCTGCACTATTTTCAATTGCTAGTTTGATTGGAAAACCTGTCAAAATAGATGTATCCACTTTGAGGCTATCCCGACCTTCCATGGCAAGGATATGTGTTGAGTTGGATGTATCTGTTAATCTACCATCTAAAATCTGGATTGGTAATGGCTCCAATGGATTTTTCCAAAATGTTACCTATGAAGAAGTTCCCTTATTTTGCAATGGGTGCAAAACTTTTGGTCATTCTCTGAAAAATTGCAAAAAAGGGAATCCCAGTACCTCATCTATACCAAATAAGGCAAACTCCAACCAAAAATGGCTCCCTAAAACATTATCTGCTGCCAAAATTGGCCTGGGGCATCAATTAAATCATGAAAACCAGGCTGTCCTTGAACCCCCATTGACCTCCTATGATGCGGTTGAGGAGGAAAATCCTGAAGAGAGTAACACTAATGTTAAAATGGCAACTACGATTGCTAATTCTGTCCCGGTGATTGCTGTCCCTGAACTAACTGTCCCTACCAAAACAACAATCCAAGCTACAATAAATGTTGTGGAGCCTACTGAAACTGAGGTTGTTGTCCCTGAGTTGGCTGTCCATGATCTTGCTGTCCAGGCCAAAACTACATTCCAAAGTCCAATAAATGGTTTGGAACACAATGAAACTGAGCTTGAAGATCTGGAGCCTCCACCTGTCCATACTCCTCCCTGCACGCAATTTTTAGAGGATATGGTCCCTACCAATACAGTTTCACGTGATAAGGGTTTGGAAACTACAAGAGCTACTGAAATTATCCCTCCCTTGTCCAATGATGCAATCAATAACAGTAAGGCAGAAGGGTCTAAAGAGGCCTCCCCTTACAACATTCTAGCTGAGGACACCCCCTCCCAAATCAATCCTTTAAATGAAAACCAAACTATCCAACCCACTAAATATTTGGTTTATCCTGAATCTCAACAGCAAAATAGTCCTGATGACAATGAACCAGATACTCTGTCCCTTATAGACATACCGGTTGAAGAGGAAGGTTTCACTCCGGTGGTCTCGAGGAAAAATAAAAAAATTAGCCACCAAAATGAACTCACATCAAATCAAGTGCCAATAATATATACAAGGGGATACAGTCAACATATACTAACAAGGAGCAAAGCCAAGGCGGGTCAAACAGAGTTTGAATTCTATGCTTATCCAGAAGAACACAAATACGAATCGCCGCACAAACTGGTGCAAGGACTGGGCTGGTACCGCCAAGCACATCCTGAGAAGAACATGTATCCTCCATATATTCAAAGGGCGATCAAATTTCATCACAGATACAACAAAGAACTATCTATAAAGGCCGGTCTCCCCAACAATTTTAACTACTCAGTAAACTACTAGACTCTATTCTCTTTTATTTCCCTGCAGCTTATTTCTTTTACTCTTTCTCGAGTAGGCTTTGGTTTGGCCCTCCTACTCTTTGTACCTCTTTTTTATTAATAAATCGGTGAGGAATTCCCTAGCAAAAAAAAAAAAAAAAAAAATATATATATATATATATATAGGGTAAGGTTCAAGTGAGAAGAACCCTTTGGGTGAGAAATGAGAATGAATCTCAGCCATTGGATTCGACTAAGTTGCAGTAAAATACACTTCATGATGCACTGAAATATGCAATCTAGCACGGTGGCATTTCTGTAAATACTTCTGAAAAATCCGTATTACACGTGTCCAGTGCAACATGAAGCTATTTCGGTGCAACGCCGTCAAATATTAGTGCAACATTAAACAGTTTTAGTGAAACATGTGCAAAATTTAAATATTACTGCAACATAAAGCCAATTTTAGTGCAACTTCGTAAATCCAATGGCTGAGATTCATTCTCATTCCTCACATTAGATGCATTTCTCACCTGAACCAAATTCTATATATATATATATATATATATATATATATATATATATATATATGAGCAAAAGTGATGACTTTAAGATAGTAGAAGGACTCATTTGAACCTTTTTCCAAAAATCATAAATAAAGTATTCACATTTGAATGGTTTAATAGGAAACTGATTGTTCTTTCTTTGATGAATCATATCAACCTTTTTCCTGCTCATTTATTTTCCTGGCTATAGTATCTATGAACTGCAGAGTTAGATGATTAATGGAGGCAATTGAATATATGAGGGATAAAGTAATGGGGTAAATATTAATGTATATATTCAAAAATATAGGTGTATCCCTAATTGAAGTGAAAGGACTACCAAACTTCTACTTAAAGTGGAGAGACTACAACCCAACAACTACAAGCAGAAATGCAAGATAAACAGCAACACAATCATTTTTTATTTTATACTATAACAATACAAACTACAAGATGGCAAAAATATATTCTAATATTTTCCCTGAAATTTAGCCGGTGCATACCTAAGGTTGTGTTTTGTAGCCAAATGTGTTCCCTTTATGAAAAAAGAAAATTATGTTCAATCCAGGTCTCTTAAATTCTAGGGTAATGAAAAAGAGAAGTTATTTACTGTTTTTTGACAAATTTTAACATTGTCGGATGAAAGAGTGTTAGTTTTCCATGTTTAATGAAATGTGTTTGTGCAGAGAAGGGTAGAAGACGTACCAGAAAAGTGGCGAAGCGGAGAGTGTCGTTTCGATTTCCATGACTTCCAAAGACGAAGGGACAAAGAAGACGAAGGGATGCTAGGCGATGTGCGAGCAAATCCGGCCGTGCTCGAGGAAGTTGATGAATTGGGCGTAGCTGGCCCCTGTGGGCATAGTAGCAGAGACCATTTCAGAGGAAGTTGACGGACAAAAAAGTCGTTGCTTTGTAAAGGAGAAAACTAAGCAAGTTGAAAGATTTACAAACGGCTGAGCGTGGTATACAAGTAAAGTAAGCCATGAAGTACACGAACAAATTTTTTAGACCTAAAATGATCTTACCTTCATTCACCTTTATAAGTTTGTAGAGATTACTTTATTAGATTTAAGGGGAGTATAGTCACTATAGGCTATGGTTATTTTTTATTACTAAAAAGGTAAAGTTATAATTTCAAATTTAATAGTGATTCGTAATAAATCTTTTTTTTTTTTTGCAAAACGTAATAAATCTTTTAAAAACTTGAAACGCTATTACAATGTGATATTTTTGAAATAATTTCATCTATTTTACCAAGAAACTACTGATCCCAAGCCCAATTGGACAAAAAGTTGATTAGATTAATTAAATTTGATATTTCATTCTAAGGATGGGCAAAATTTAAACTGGATTAGAGGGCAACCCCATTAGGGAACCCTTCCAAAAATTCTCTTGAGCTTAGGATGAACCTAAGCAAAAGAGGGGGTTTGGAAATAGTTTTCAACCAGCAATAGACGCGCCTCGGTTAATACCTCACTAGCTGCGTCATTGCCCCAAGCGCAAAGATGGTTGAAGGAGGCTGTTGGCCTGCGTACTTATAACACATTAGTCCATTGCTTTTTTTATGCGACTTCGGTGTGGGAAGTCAAGTCGACTTTTAGTCTCAGAAAACATACACTATCTTCATTAATGAGTGCTCCGTAATAATTATGATTGCACTTACCCTTTTAACCGGTGCTACTTCCCCAATAAATTCGTTCTGAATGTTTATTTATTTAGTTCTATGTAAAAGACTTATGTAATTTCAAGTGTAAATTGTTAAATCTAAACTCTAAAGAAGTAGAATGACTGAAATAGTTTATTAGGTGGAAAAAAATTAAATTTCTGAAAAACTAAGAGTCGTTTAGTGATCCTGTTTTTCGGTTTATCAGGTTCATCATTAGCCAACTGTTCCATCAAATACGTAATTTTTTATTGCAGCGCTAAATTGTGTAATAATAAGAAAAAATAAAGTTGAAGTCACTTTTCTGGTTATATTGGTTGAAGTTAGTGTAGAATATCATATTAACTGTTTTTCATATAATATTTTTTATTTTACTCATAAAACATATTTTAAATATAATTTTTTCATAATTCAGCGGAATATCTCAATCCAACCACAGAACTTCATATATTTCAACATAATTAGACAATACTGTGAATTTGGGTATTACCAAACGAGCTCTAAAAATATACTATTGTTAAAATAAAACAAATTTACTTTTACCAAGTTTTGTCCCTAGTATTTCCAGGGTTTTTATTTTCCTCGATGAGATCGCTGCTTGTGGTGAGTTTCCGGCTCATTGTGCGATTGGAAGTGGCATAGATAATCATCTGGTTCCCACTTGTTCCGGCCCTGGACCAGCCAGCCATTAAAAAATTGAATAGGCTTGGGACCTTGTCCTGTATTGTTCGGTCTGGGTAAGGGACGGTCCCGATTATATTTATTTTAAAATACAAATGAAGGCGTTTACACAAACCTATATCTTTCCATGTTTATCACCTAAAAAATTAGCAACTTTTTTCCCGTTTTTATCTCCGAGATTATAGCCATTAATTATATTTAAAAATTAGAAAATATTGACTACTTTTCTAATTTCTATAACCCTACGGACTCCTGTATATACAATACATATTTTTTTAACATTTACCGGATTTTATTAAGAAAAATAAGAACGAATGCAAGCAAAAGTCGAGGGGACCAAACCTTACCCGACAAGAAATTAAACAAGCGCGTTAGATTCTGAAAGAGGGAATACCAAAAAAAATCCATCCAAAAAGCCCGTTTTACCATAACTGGAATCTGCTCAATATCAGAATAAATTTTAATTTGATCTTCATGGACCTGGGCCAGATGGTGGGCAGCTCAGTTCCCTTCACGGTTCGAATGCCCAAATTCCATCTGTTTTCTAATAGCCTGCTGTGTGATTTCCTGAATTGCACTCGTCCATCTTCTTTCCTCTTTACCCGTTAGATACTCCAGAGCTAAAATGGTTTATCACCTTGATTAGTGAGCAAATTCCATATCCCATATCTATTCTACTTATATTTATATGTATAGGATATAAGAAACCAAATAGCTCAAGACAATTTTATCCTTAATTTTTTCATTTTTGTTCCAACTCTTAAAAAAATATATCGAAATTCATAATTTTTTGTGATCTTTCATATGAGATCAATATTAAATATATTTTTTAAAGAAAACCAAACTTTATTAAGAAAAGAACCAAATTACAGAATGGGGGACTAAACTGATGAGTCCACCCAGCAGAAAAAGAAACAATATTAAAACTATGGTTAAAACTATATATATACATTTTTTGTTTGTTTTAAACTGATCAGATCTATTCTGTTATCTGAATTGGCTGAAGTTACTGCAGGTGATAATTTTTAGCTACTTTTCATATAATACTTTTATTAATTCTTTATTTAATTGATAAATTATTTTTAATTAGATTTCCATGAATCAATAGATTCAACTAATTCAACCACTTCTCTCGAAATTTCATCTATTTCAGCAGATTCAACCAATTTCAATACTACTAAATTGTCTCTAAAATAAAAATCAGACCATGAAAGGGAAAAATATAAATACAATAAATTTATTTAAGAAAAATTTCTTAAAATATTTTATGATTTGATGTGCACAAGTTTGATACATAAAAAATCTGAAAATGAAAATCTAATTAGTTCTAATAAAATAAAACTTCGAGTTGGTCTATTTAGTTCTGTTTTGATCGCGAGTCTAAATTGAAGATGGTGAGTAAATTGAATTCATCAACCTTGCGATTAATAAAAAACTAATGTTATTTTCATTTTTTATCCTACTCCCTTCGTTAAACTATTACACACCTTATTTCTTCCTATTATAATGTCACTCAAGAATAAAAGATTAGCAAACGAAAATGATAATCACATCGAGTGCTAATAAATACTTCTAAATTTAGTTCAATTTATTATTCTTTCTTTTTAAGAAAAAAGGGACAAATATGAAAATATTGATTCTATCATTTTTGGTTTCTATTAAACTGCTTTGATCTATTTATGTTTAGCTTTATTGAAATTATTTTTCTGACTAATTCGACTGAAGTTACTATACAGAATCATTTTTAACTACTTTTCATATTATTTTTTTATTTATTTCACTCATAAAATATAATATAAATTAAATTCATCCATAAATCAATATTCAACAAATTCAGCCACTTTTGTCAGAATTTCATCAATTTCAAAAGAATCAGACGTTTTAGCCAATTTCAGTGTTACTAAACTGGCTCTAAATATCAAAATTAGAACATGAAAGTAACAATAGATAAGTGGCAAATAAAAAGTGACTTTTAGAAAAAAGGATTTCTTAAGAGTAACAAATAAGAGTCTTAAAAAAATCACATTTCATTAAAAAACAATATGTTGAAATAATATCTTTATAATATGTAAGTGACTCAAAAATATAAATATACTTGTATTCGGTTATTATTGTGGACTTCCAATTGTGTACATACAAACGGATAGACTTACAAAAGGGTTTCTGATGATTCCTAATGTAGCAACTGACTAATTATTCATTTATAATTTTTTTATTCAACCACAACCTCACTTTTTTCACTTTATTCTCACTTTCTTACAT